ACTTAAGGAAATCGACTGTGATTATAATGCATTTTGAAATCCACTGGGAAGAAGTACTGCCATATACATATTGCCTGTAAAAGGTTTAGTTGAAGTCTTAGTCTTCTGTACTTCCTCCCACTCTAATATAAAATTCATTTTACATATTTTATACCAGGTTGATTGCTGTTAAGAAATGAATTTCTAAAATGTGATTTGCAAAAGTGAATCTTTCCAAATACTGATATTGTATCACTGTTATAATTGTAATGTATTATAAATATATCTTGAGAAAATTATCTAAATTGAAAAGTTTTGTAGAATATTTATATTTAAATAGTTTTTATTCTATTGTAATATCATAAGGAGTAATTTTGAATTTATTAGTTTAGACTAGATTATATTGCTTGATTTCATTTTAAGCACTTGAAAATTCTCTTATCCATTCTATAGATAAGTGTTGCTTTATAGTGCTTCTATTTAAAAAACCTTAAACAGTAGCATTTTATTATAACTTGTTATTTCTAAGCCTAAAATAATATGATGATAGAATGCCTTGTTGGAAACCCTGGTGGCGTAGTGGTTAAGAGCTATGGCTGCTAGCCAAAAGGTCGGCAGTTTAAATCCACCAGGTGCTCCTTGGAAACCCTATGGGGCAGTTTTACTCTGTCTTACAGGGTCACTATGAGTTGGAATCGACTCGAGGGTAGGGGATTTGGTTTGGGTTTAGAATGCTTTGACCAAAAATGATTTCCTGTCTTACATACTTTTCTCAAGGATATGATATAGAAGACTGAATGTACAGATGTTTTCTAATCTGTCTTACTAAAATACAGAAAATATTTTTGCCGAGTTCTCTGAAGAACCTGAATTTGATATTTTTTATTCGTAAAATCATTCTTAAAACTGAAAAAAACCTTTAGATGGCCATATGATTTTCAGCTGTGTTTACATCTCTTAACTGAGAAAAATTTAATAAATATTCACTTTTCATTAAGGACATTTAACACTATTGTATATTGACTGTTTACTAACAGTATGATAAGTAGTTAAGTAGAATATGGAAGTGTATTTAACAAAAATAAATGGGTAGTTAGATTTTTTTAATATTGATGTGTTATCCTCCTTCATTTCAAGTATCTTTATTGCAGATAGGTTTACTTTATCAAAAGCAAGGCTGAGGACTTTGCAGAATGCTGGACAGCTGTAGGCAGAGATCCTGTAAATACTGTTTAGGGACACCTGGGCACTATTTTGCTTTTTCCACCAGGATGAGAATATAACCTTTCTGATATTATGTTATATTATATTTGGTTCAGAAAGCATCAGATACTAACGTTTATAAACGTTCCCTTTAATTGGAAGGACGTAAATTATTAGTGTAATTTTTTGATAAAATACGGGCATCAGTTTCAGTATGAAGAGAAAGTAAAGATAGAATTGAGCTTTCAATCTAAAAAATTGAAATCTGACCTGATGAAGCTGAATTATTAGAAAGTAAAACTTATCAGTAACATTGCTTGCCTTTAATAGGGTAAAGAAAACCCCACCTGAAGGGCCTTTGTAAGAAAAGAGCCCAAATTTGTTGCAGTCAGTAAAGGAAAATGCAATTTGGCGCAGTCTAAATGAGAAGACGTATTTTAAAATAACAGCTTTAGTTTATGATGAAACAGTAATAAAATACTGCTGAGTACAGTCAGCCCTCCGTATTCATGGGTTCTGTGTCCCATGGATTCAACCAACTATGAATCGAAAATATTTGGAAAAAGAAAATTCCAAAAAGTAAAACTTGAGTTTGCTGCACACCAAGTGCTGTGCTGAATCCACATGAATGAGGTGATGAGTGGGCATACCCTGCTCTATCCTCTGGCCGTTTCAGTGAGACCCTCAGTCTCTCTGCGGCACTAGTGTGAGCATTGATGGTCTCGCGTCTTGTTCCTTTGCTACTTGTATCGTGTGCACTGTTTGTTTCATGGCTCCTAAAAAACAATGAAGTGGTCAGAGCAGTTCCTCAAAGGCTAAGTATGAGGGCGTTCAGGAGAGCGAGAGGAAGGAGTGTCAGGCTATTAAGGGATGAATGGCTGGCAACCTCAAGATCTTCAAGATCATGGAAGAATTCAGCATTGACTGATGCCAAGGCAGCATCACCAGTCCCAGAAGAGCCCAAGAAACTCAGAAGAGAAAAGCTACCTTCCAGAGCAAGTCTTCAGTTGTGGTGAAACACCTGTTTACATAGCATTTACATTGTATTGGGTATTATAAGCAATCTAGAGATGATTGAAAGTATACAGGAGGATGTTCGGAAGATGTTCGTTGGATATATGCAAATACTATGCCATTTCATGTAAGGGACTTGAGTATCTTTGGATTTTGGTATCTGTAGGTGTCCTGGAACCAATCCGCTGTGGATACTGAGGGATGGCTGTATAATGCTATACAGATTTTTTTATGTAATCTCTTATTTTACCTGCAAGCAATGTCCAGCAAATTTTTTAATATTCAAAACTTCTAAATCTCAGAATTTCCAATATTTTGGATAAGAAGTTTCTTCAGAAAAATGTAGTATTGGTCTTTACATGGAAAAGAGAGTTTTTAGGAAGATTGAGAAATAGAAAAATAAGAGCAGTTAAGGTAAGCAAAGTGATAAGCTTATATAAACTGAACAGAGAAATCAGGGAGGGTTTGGGATCTTAGCCCCTGGAGGAACTCTGTGATGATTTTAAAATGCCAGCTCAGGAAATCAGCTGTATTTAAAAACAGCTTTTTTGAAAAAGTGGATTCTGTCTATATGAAGTTACTGTAAAAAGAACTGAATTGACCTATAATCTACTATTCTGACCCCCCTTTCTATTTTTTGGTGAGAGAGAGAAATGGGCTGAAGATGTGATGTGTTCCTTTTGTTGCTGTAACCTAGAACATATTCTCTATGGAAGTCAAGAAAGTTCCAGAACTCATTGCAGAATAAAATATTCAGGACATAATTTGCAGGTTTCAGATTCCTTCATCAGGCATCTGTTTACATCATCTTGCCCCTTGTTTCCTTCTTTCCTGCCGTGTGTAATGTAGGTATGTACATCTCAAAGAGCCAGTGCGTGAGTTTCTAAATTAGTATTCCGTTCCAAAAAAAATTCAGAATCAGCCCAAATTTACTGAGAATCTACACAGTAATTTTCATTTACAATAATAGGAGATTTATTTTATATTCAGATTTCTAAATTATGACGTAAAGCTTAATATTGGAGCAACAAGTATTTGTTGATTGCAGTCCTTTTTTGCTTTATCTGAACTGTTTGTCAGATGATTTCTGCTATAGTTATGCTAATTAAAATGCATTGCCTAAATGCTTGCTTCGACTCATGCTGTAGCTTGAAGATTTCTCATTTTATGGCATTTGTTAACTGTCAGCTCTTCTTTACCATACTTCCTTCAGACTTTTCACTCCCCCTTCCTCCTACCCGCCACCTTTATATGAGTTTGTTTTTGTTGTTATTGCAATGGTGATGTAATGGTTTATAGACACATGTGCTGGGTGGCTCCTCAGATTCACAAATGTTGCTAAACTGAAAAGAGAATTCCAGACACTTTCATAAGCATGTCTCATCTAAGCTAATTTTAGAATGAGCATGTTGAATGAAATGTGCCTAAAATTGCTTATTAGTCATAGTGGAGGGGATCCTTTTTGACATCAGGAAACAGGGCTAGTTAAAGGTATCAATAAAAGTGTTATTAGTATCTATTACTTTCATTTGTAATAGAAACTTGGAACTTTTTGGAATAAAATGAAATTTGAAGTAAATTTGAAATAAGATTATGTAAAGAATTCGAAAACATAGCCTAAAATAGAAATGAGTGATGATGTCTTACACTTTCAAGGGTGGTTATAAATTTGATTTTTTATATTTACTACACGTATTGGCAACTCACAAGATACATATTATTGCATTAAGCATTCTTACTCTGTTGTAACGTCGTTTTAGTTTATGTGTAAAATGATAATAGGTCACATGAATTAAGATGCTAAATTATATTACAGATTAGCTTAGCATAAGATATGTAAGATTATGGAAATAACAAAATTCTAAAAATGAATTCTGTCTATTAATAGTGTCACAACGATTAGAGTGTATGTTCTGAGTGTGTTCCACTAGTTGAGAAATATAGCTTTCAAAGTCAAAGGAATTTTGAGCATTGTGTCAGCTGTTAATCGTAGTATCTCGGTGTTTCCTTTTAGACAGCTGATCTCTCGTCTTAGAAGATCCTGTATAAACAGCCCTATTCCCAAATAAAAGTGCTGAGTGAAGCTGTTGCTTAATTCATTTCATTTTGCTGAGGATTTACATTTGTAGAATTATTTCATAGACTGATTTTTTTATTCAATTGTTGTTAGCATGGAAGTTCCTAAAACAGGTTATCACAATAGCGTGTTTCAACAGGCTGTATATTTGAGAAAGGAATGAAAGTCATTCATCTCCAGTAGAAAATTTAGAGGAGTTGTTCGCAAATAATAAATTACTAGATTCTGACAAAAACTAATGGTATTGAGTTGTGACTGGGTATAAATTTAAGCCTAAACATCCTTTCCGGCCCTGAAATGAACAAGGTACTGCTTGTAAGTCAGTAATGTCTTACAACCTGCTAGCTGTCTTGCTGTAGAAACTATAACGTAAGGACCTTGAAATAGATGCCGTCATCAGCCCCAACCCCCAGGCATTCATCTGTTTAAACACATGACAGAAGATGGTGGAAGAGAGTTCAGCAGCTATTCGTGTGGCAGGGGTGGTTATTGTACTAGGACATACTTTGTTGTAGGCCACCAACTTTTGAGTTAAAATATTACAGCTGTCTCTTTTCCTTTTCTTACATCTTTCTCTTTTTATTACAACAAACTCAATCTTTTTCCCACCAACATTTTGTGTAGATCCAAGGAGCAACAAATTCCAACTTCCTACTGTAGCAGTTTTACTCTTATTCTCTGTCTGAATAGATTTCAGTATTTTACTTTTTTCTTTTTTTTTCTAAAGGCAACGGACAGCCAAGGCGTAGATCCATCCAAGATTTGACTGTTACTGGAACAGAACCTGGTCAGGTAAGACGTAGCATTCAAATTCTCTATCTTTGAAGACTAATAATGGGTAGAAATTGAGAGTGAACTATTATATACTCTGCAAAATTAGTTTTCTGAGTTGAAGTAAATTTGACCTAAAATTGTGATAGAGAAGTTCATTAGCACTTGAATTTAAATGCTTAGGGGAAAAATTATAGATGCCATTATTTTAACTGGAAGAGTAATTTATGAAAGTAGACTGATCAGGCTTCATGGAAAGTAAATTCTTCAACAGTGCTTTACGTATATTATGTTGTTTTGTGTATGTTTTAATAAAGAAGTTACCAATTTTGTAATTTACCACTTTGTGATTATCATTGTCCTATAAAATGCATCATTAATGTTGTCTCCTTTCCACCAATGAGAGGAATAAATATTTCCCCAATAAGATGCCTCTCCTCAGGGGTCACATAGGGCACTGACATACCTGGAGAACTCTTAAAGATCTTTTAATTTGGTATATCCATTATAATTATATTTTTGTGAATGTAATTTATATCATATTCTGTAAAATGCGTGAAGACTAATTATGACAAGTTTTTTTGTTACTGCTTTGTTTTCAGGTGTGCTGAATAAGTTTTATGAGCGTAGCATGCATCTGAAGTGATAGAAATACCACATACTAATCCATATTAATATATTTTAACATTATATGTTATAAACAATGATTTTATTGATGGTAACATATTTTAGTACTTTTCATCCTAGAAAGGTGTTTTATTATTATTTCATTTTTATAACATACTTTAAAGTTGGAATTCTTAGTATTCATTAATAAAAATTTGGAAGCCCTTTATAGTCATCAACTTAACTAGCTGACAAAAACCACTTGAAATATTTTAGTGATAAATATCTTTGATCTTCATTTATATCTGGAAATATTTGTATTTCACAAGCCGTAATGACTATGCACACATACATATATACATACATTAATTTATATGTTTTGTAGCATATTAGTGACTCTAAGGCTTGATTTCACCTATTTAGCAGTTTTTTTAATGTATCTGGTTTTGTGAGATACCAGAACTTTTGACTGAAGTTTTCCGTTTTTCTCCCCCTCAAATACTTTAAGGTTTAATCAGCCCATTTAGTAACAAATAGTTTGACATCTGACATTTGCTTTGATTCCTTAGAGGCTTGATGAGCTCAGCCTTTTAAACTCTGTTTACTGTTGACACTGATATTCCAGTTATGAGAACCATTAGCCAAGTGTTCTCCCTTTGAGTAGGAATGAGAAGCTTGCCCTAAGACACTTCCGAAATATCTCCTGGTGCAAGTGCTTTTCTCTATAATCTAGAATAACAGCTTTACTATAATTCAGGACTGATCTCCCCACATCCATATCCCCACACCAAGCCTTACCTATTTCCTCAAAGTTCTGCATGCATAGGGGTGTTATGGAAAGCCTGGTGGCATAGTGGGTAAGAGCTACGGCTGCTAACCAAAAGGTCAGCAGTTCAAATCCATCCACCAGGTGCTCTTTGGAAATTCTGTGGAGGAGGTCTCCTCTGTCCTGTAGAGTCGCTATGAGTCGGAATCGACTCGGCGGCAACCGGTTTGGTTTTATGGTTGTTACCCTTTTTAATTTACAGTACGTTCTGGTAGTAAAACACAGTAACTGAGGCAGAGTATGGTTAGGGGAGAGTCTGTTTGAGTTGTCATAAATTGGGGGAGGGAGTAATACGGTGGTAAAACCTGTTCTGAGACGGATGATAAGTTGCCATTGTATAGCCAGTTTTTACAGTAATCCACTCTTTCAAAATTATTTAAGTATTTATAACATTAAAATGTCTAATGTTCAGTTATGAATGATGGTGAAATACAGTAATCTTAATGCACTATGAAAACATTTTCCCCTGAAAATGTCGTGATAAATAATCCTTAAATCTTTTTAATTATTCATGGGTTAACGTTTATTATTTGAAGAAGAAAAGTGTTCACAATATGTATTTTCAAAATTTGAAGATATAGTTCTTTTTGAAGTCTGGCTCAGTGGTGATTAAATAGATGGCGCAGTTCTTTTTTGACCACAGAATTTGAAAGAGAGCATAAAGAAAATAATTTGGTCCACCTGGTGCAATCATCAAAGGAAGAGACATAACTTACTAATAAAGTGTAACATTACATTTCATAGAGGAAAGTGAACTGACTAGAATTTCCACTTTGGCTTTTGACTCAAGACATTATCGAAATAAAGTCACTTAGACTTTCCATCTCTAAACCGAATTTAAATTGGTTGTTTCTGCACTGTCATTTCTGTTGAGAGGAGTTTTGAACAAAGCATGTTTCTTAGTTAAAAGTAGTAATATGAGTACATGTGTAAAAGATTATATCTTCACAACATGACTTTTAAACATGACTTAATTTGGGGATTTTTTTTTTTAAGCTCGTATAATGATCCTAGCCTTCCAGAGACTTTGGAAAGATACTGAGAAAGAAAAAGTAACCCCTGACATCCAGGCATCAGTGTTATAAGTTGGCCCGATACTCACAGCTAATCTGTGTTATTCTCCTACTAAAAGAAAAACAAACAAACCAAACCCATTGCCATCGAGTCGATTCTGACTCATAGCAACTCTATAGGACAGAGTAGAACTGCTCCATAGGGTTTCCAAAGAGTGGCTGGTAGATTCAAACTACTGACCTTTTGGTTAGCAGACGAACTCTTAACCACTGTGCCACCAGGGCACCATTCTCCTACTAGACATAAACAGTCTCACAGAACATCAACGTCTGACAGGATTACACTGAGCCCACAATAAAATATACAAAACAAGACCAGTTCATAATGTCTCAGCACACACAAAAACAAGGTCACTGTGCCACCACAAAATACCAAACATCAACCTGCCCCAGCTTGTATGAGTGATTGCTGCTTCTTTACCAACTGCAGCTTTATCTTTATAGTCTGCCCTCCCTGTAGAATTGCCCCTGCTTTCTGATAACAGCCAAACTAAAGCAAGCCCCAGCTTCCTTGTACCCTCCCCAAAAATCACTCAACTGAAGCCCAAATCCTTTAATAGGTTCTTTCTAAAATCGTCTTACTAAGACATCCCACACCTCCTCATGGTGAGCATTCTCCCTTGCTGAAATGGGTAATAAACCAAACTTGTTCCACTTACAGGTATGTTCCTGGTGGTCTTTGACTGGAGGGTGTTGACAGTACCAGTAAGTCCCAGTCCTCAAGGAGCTTCTGTGGGCAGATAAGATTTATGCCCCGATAAATGAGAGAACTACAGTAGTAACAACTGCCATTTATTGTGTGCCAACTGTGTGGCAGGCTGGGCCTTGATATGCATTATTTAAACCTTAACCCTAAAAAGTTGGTACTTTTTATTTTCCTCATTTTGCAAACAAGTAAACTGAGGGTTAGAGAAACTTGCCCAAGTCTCTTAATTCCCTTACACTATCAGTAATTGTTATAACTGGTTTATGAATCCAGCTCTGATTCCAAAACATTTAAACTCTGTTGTTGTTGTTAGTTGCTCTTGAGTCAGTTCTGACTCATGGAAACCTCACATGTGCAGAGTAGAGCTGCTACATAGGGTTTTCAAGGTTATGACCTTTTGGAAACAGATTGCCAGGCCTGTCTTTCGAGTCACCTCTGGGTGGGTTTAAACCATTAGCGTTTTGGCTGATAGTCAAGTGCTTAAGCATTTCCACCACCCGGGGACTCCATTCAAAATTTACTCGCTCATTCTATCTTGTGTATAAAACTGGATATAGTGCATGCTAAGGTAATCCTATATCTCTTAAATTTTAAATGTTTTGGCATCTGATAGTCTGCATTTAAATTTAATTATTTAAATAGCTGTCAGTGATGATGAATTTTACCCGTATCATATCACTGAACAAGGCTAACTAACCCACCTTGATAATAAATTTCCACAGAGGACTGCACCAATTTATTTTTTTATACATCTAAGTGAGCCTTTCTATGTTTTACTAAAATTATACATTCTCATGAATGCCTGAATGCTCCTTCTGGAATTGTATCCAGTATGGATCTATTTTAAAATTTCTTCTGGCAGATGCTGTAGTCGGTGAAAATCACAACTACAAGATGATACAATTATGATTATTTAGAGAATTGGACATACTACATTTCTATAGGGACTTTAGAATCTACTTTTACTAGTCAAATGTCTGACTTTGGACAAGTTCCTTAATTTCCCTGACTATCAGAAATTTTATCTGTAAATGGGGACCATAACACTCACCTCTCAGGGTTCTTTTAACAGGTGAAAGTACCAGAACACAGTAGATGCTTACTACATACCCTATGCCTGCCTCCCCATAGTGTGCCTCACAGGGCTCTTGTACCATCCTGACATTCACAAATAGTGTCTTACTATCCAGAAATACATGAAAATAGCACTTGGAAAGATGTAGAACCCAGTTGCATTCTGTTCCTTCTGTATCATAGAAAAACATCTGTCAGGGATCATGGTAAGTATTTGCCTTAAGGCTTTTTATGACATACTGAAAGATGTATTATATGTTGTTATTAATGGATATGGTTTATTATACTACTGCTTCTTTCGTCCCCCCTCAATCTTCAACTCCTTTAGTGTAAAGTTCTATTAAAGCTCTAAATCAGAAGCTTATGTAATTGATTTAAGTAATTCCTGGTTCATAATATACCTTTCTATTAGAGAATTTAAAGAACACAAGAAAATCAAATTCTGATATTTCCATACAAAGAACTAGTGAAACCAGGATTAGATTTAGCCTGTGCCTTTGGATTAGAAAGAAATGTTTTAGATATACCTGTCATGTATAATTAAATTATGTGTTACTACCATAATGGAAAAAGTACTTATGTAAATCCACATTATCAACTTATTATCTTTTTTTTATCTTTTTACCAGTGATTTTATAAAAAAAATTGCTCCTATTAAAAAAATATTTATCTTAAAATGTTATTTCAGCAAGAATATCACAGTAAATTAGCATTTAATCTCTGTGTTTTGTGCTTA